GATCTCTCTGTCTCCTCATCACTCTCCAGCTTTATAAGACTGGGTCGGTCGCTAGATCTTTCTCAATCTCTCGGCTACCACTCCTCTGCTTCTCTTCTCTTGGTCGACGGTTGGTAGCTGCTATCAGGTTTGTGCTTTACCCACTTCTAATGATGTCCATATGACTGTATTTAGATTGGGTCTTGAATGTCTTAGGATTAGATTAGTTTTTGATTCTTTTGAACTGATTAGAAATGAGAATTAGATTCGGTGGACAAGAGAGAAGACGTGAGGTGTGGGGCTAGTCGGTTCTCGCTAAAGATTAATAAGCAATCTGATGAATTTACTCATAAACCCATTATTGCTCTTCTCGTTTTCCATACATTTAAAAAAAAATTTCTTAATACAAGAGTTACCAGATAATGTGAGCCTCTTGTTCGTCTTCTTTCTTGGCTTTCTGTGTTTGCATGTTGCATTTTGAAGGTTTTGATGCTGCTGGGGATTTTCTATCTTTGGAGAAATTGAAGAAAGAGAAAGTTCGAAAACTGAGTGCTGTTAATGGTAGAGGAAGTCTGGGCAAGGAAGAACGTGAAATGGGTTGTTTTGATGTGTCTGATAGAGAAACTTAATTGTTAATATAAGAGTTGGAGTTAGCAGTTTTTTTTCACAGGGACATCTTTTAGTACACTTTCGCGGGACTCCTCATTCCCTGAAGGGACGGGTGTGGGGATCCGTTGACATCCATAGATTTGGGGTCAATTTATATGTTTACTAATGGTAGCCTTCACACTAAAACAATAAAGAGACTTATAAAATAAAAGATAAATAGATTTTTTTGTAATAGATGAATAATTAAAGTTAATAATATTTGTCTAGATTAAAAAATGTGACAATTAATTGGGGACAATATAGGGAGTATTGTTTGTTGGTGGGTTTCCAGTTTTTCATGACCTTGATAGCAAATTTGAGGCGTTAGCTGCTGTTACTGTGAAGTTATCTAAACTAAAGAGGTGAAATTTATTTCATTTATTTATTTATTTATATGTAAAGAATATGTCTGATTATTATTTGTTTTAAAGATATAGACTTAAATTGCCTAATTAGGCTGATTTTGTTTATGTAGCATAATTTTGCTAAGGCATCTGAACAAATCAGTTAGAGAATAGTCAGGCATGTTGAAGCTTTCTCTTATCTTCCTGCTTTTTTCTAGAAAACATGGCTCATAATAATTATTCGAGTGATGATTTTTCTATTGGGCTTGCTTAGAGATGCAATGAAATCTTTAAGAGGATCGATGAGTAACTGGTAGAAATTAAGATGATACAGAGAAAACTGTTTTCATGATCTAGATAAGTATGGGTTTGTTGTAGTTTTGTCTCCGTAAGTGTGCTGTGATTTGATATGTTATCTCTTCAATTTCAGCCTCTAAATTCACATTCTTGAGCACTTCTCATGTGAAAGTTAGATTGAATTGAATGTCTGCTGTTGAAGAATATGTTTGATTCAAAACTAGAGGTTGGGAATGACTTGATTACAAGTGTTTTTGTATGCTTACGCGACTCATTTGCTTAATTTTCTTATTTTTGGACAGATTGAGCCAGATTCTGATTAGGACATTAGAGAGGATGTCTGAGAAAAATATTCAAGATTTGGAAATCTGAAGCATACACATGTAGACAAGTAAGTCCTCCTGACTTGATCTGTTGATGCGTATTCTTTTTTATTGGTTAAATCACCATTTTAGTTGCTCAACTTTCAATTTTGGATTAAGTTGGTCCTGAAACTTCAAAAACTATTAAAATTGTCCTTAAACTTCAATTTTCCAACACCAACTTTGACAGAAACTTTATCCTTCCATCAGTTAAATGCTGATTTGTATCATTTTTCCGTCCAAAAATTAAATTAATACTTGTAACAAAAATCATATAATCCTTACAAGAATGAATCTTCTTGTAATAAACTCATATGATCCTCACTAAAATGAATCTAAGTTTTGTTATGTTCTTTATATTAAGAATCCTATTTGTTGTCATATTAGACTGTATAAATACTAATAAAAATGCATCCCCTGTTCTACATTCAGAATCTTTCTTCACATGCCTGTTCATTAATTCCTCAAACATGTTGTAATAGTCGTATCAATGTGAAAAAGAATAAGTTTAGAAGCAAACTATATTTATTACAATTCGAAAAAAAAACTTAAAGGTGTTAATATAAATACATACTCATCAGGTTCTCTACATTATATTATAGAGTATTACGGTGTATGTATTTGGAAAAATCTTCCTTAATTCCATCCCAATCACAATTTCACTCTTAGATAATTTGGGTGGCAACTAGTCATTGTAATGACTATAACCAGCATGAAAATATGCTATTCTACACTAGTGGTTGGTCTTCTGAACCTTTTCTTTTCTTTTCTTTTCTTTTTTTTTTTTTTATGGAAAGTTAAACACCTTTTCCTTCACAGTACTGGACAAAACCTTGACAAACCAATTACTATCAAGACCTGTCCAATTTCATCCATTTATGTATATCCTTCAAGCATCAAAATGTAAATTCTGAATGAATTTCACTTTTTGATGGTCACTCTAAAAGTATGGCCAAATAATTTCCATTAG